TATTCAGGGTTATGTCTGGTCTATATACCAGCTTTGATAAGTGTTTGGTATTACTATAAATTTTCATTTCGTACTATGAACATCAAAATTATTTATTTTGTAAAAATATTTCCTTTCTCTATTGGAACTGTACACGTATACCTAACAACAAAATTATTTTCATTTACCTGTGTTTAAAGTTATTGCAAATGGCTGATATTTTTGTTCGAGCATATTGTTTTTCTTTATTTGTTTAACATTTCATACCGATATAACATGTTACTTTTATTATTCTTTCCTTAGTTTATTTATTTTGTATTTACATTGTATCATAGGTCAAATTTATTTGTTCAGTGTATGTTCATTGGTGTTAATATGTCCTTTGATTGAGTTAAGCTATTTCAGTTGATATTTTATAGTGTGTCTTTCTATGTTGTGATGTTGCACTATTGTTTCAGAAAAAGGGTGAAGGTTTGGTACCATTAAAACGTTTAAACCCGCTGCATTTGTTTGCACCTGTCCTAAGTCAGGAATCTGATGTTCAGTAGTTGTCGTTTGTTGATGTGGTTCATCAAGTGTTTCTCGTTTCTCGTTTTTTATATAGATTAGACCGTTGGTTTTCCCGTTTGAATGGTTTTACACTAGTAATTTTTGGGGACCTTTATAGCTTACTGTTCGGTGTGAGCCAAGGCTCCGTGTTGAAGACCGTACTGTGACCTATAATGGTTTACTTTTATAAATTTTGACTTGGATGGAGAGTTGTCTCATTGGCACTCATACCACATCTTCTTATATCTAATTAATCTGTCGAACTTGATTTAAAACATACTAAAATGTATATCAAAATTACAATAGTTACATCTAGTAGGAAACAATCAATAGTACATTGAATTATAGAGTTTCAACATTTCGAATTTTGGGACTAATGTTACCCCCAAAACAAATATAAATATAGATAGATTTACATGTATTTGGAGATCAGCACGTCAAACCAATATTTTCCTATAGTTCTGTTTTATTCCATATCATAGATAAGAAATGTATATCGTCATTTTACATGTATAAGAATATTTTTCAACCAAAACTTTAACTAGTATAACTTTTTCAGCTATATTCTTTTCAATAATTGTACATGCTCAGCATGTGCGCAAACGATCGCATCCTTAGACCGAATCATTTGTCGTATGCATAAGAATCCAAATGAGGGATTAAAGTCTTGCAAGGCAATAATGTGTCAGCGAAGTTTTTTTGTTTTGTTTTTTTTTTTTTGCTTACTTTGTTAAAATTGAACCGAGAGAATTATTTTACATTAAAAAAAAAATAATGGTATTCTCAAGTACAAAGCTGTAAACGCCCTCGGTCTGCAAAAGTTCAAAGATTTGCCATCAGCACCAATATCCATAGACTACAAGCGGAATATAACTAAAGACTACCACAGACGAGGTGGACAGTCACATGGAGACGATTATATCGTACGGTGTATGCCTTATTGTGTATGTAAATGCAATTCTTGTTGTAATGATTGTGATTAGTTTCTTCTGTCACATTTTCAGATGTGACACTTGTTCATCTTTTTCTTTTCTTTTTACCTATTTTTTTTTTATCTTTTCAGGTTATAATGATGCTAAAACAAAGACTCAGTATGAAATGACAGTTGCAATGACACTTGGCAAAGGAACAATACTGTATCAATTATAGCATCTGAAACTTTGTCATATCTTGTATATACTAATGCCTCTGTAAATATGCTAAAGTACACACGGCGTTTAGAGAATACATATATTCAAAGTGAAACTATGTGTATTTTTCGTCCTTTAAAGATTTTAGTCTGACATCTAGATATCGTTTTACTTTTATGCGTATGTCGTATGTTGCAGTCTCACTAACGTATAAATCTACATCTCCTTTTTTTTAAACATAAGCAGCAATGTTTACAGAATTCAAGAAATCATTATGAATGCCAGTAGAGCCAGTTTGGAGACTAAAGAGATACTTGAGCAGTCCTGAGATCTCACCCAATCTTTTTTGTAGGGTTCGTGTTGCTCAGTCTTTAGCTTTCTAGACTGTCGTTTGTCTTTTTTTCGTTTTTTGCCATATTTTTTACGGTTTCTCTCCGACTTATGAACACTGATTTTGTCTCTTTATATCATAATCCCAAGTATTTTATAGTCTAATCTACCTCGTCAAATTTCAAGTTTAAATGGATGTTTTTTCTTGGACCTGTCAGTCCACTGAACCAGATACAAAGAGGGTGATTTCTATAAAAAAAAAAACTAGTTTTACTCCGCCACATTTTAACGTGTGGCCTGTATCGAGCCAGGAATCTAGACAGTGGCTGTCGTTTGTCATATCTTATGTTTTAGTTATTTCTGGGACACATACATGAATAGGTCCCAGGTTACTTGGAGAATTTGGTTTTGATTGTAACCCTTCGAAAGTTTCTGTTCAATTATTTCAGACTTTTTAGACTCTGGACGATAAAAAAACATGAACTAATTATTATAAAATTATAGACATCTGTCAGTTTTTTAACACTGGATGTTGACCTATAAATGTTTGTAGGTTAGTGATGCGCTTTTTTGGGGTTGCTGTCCCATTGACGTATACCCAATATCGTATTTTATTCATAAAAAAGTCTTCGCAGAAATGACTTTGTGGACCAGAGGACGGGGTTATTACTTGTCAACATATTTTGAGGAATACAAAACAAAATGCTTTATGTCCTCAACATGTTTACCTCCATACCACACAGTGTTCATACTCTGTGGCTTGATACTAAAAAGATTTGAATTGTTCATTCAATTGAAAATAAATCTGAAAAACCATGATGTAATATTATTCAAGAATAACTCTTTATGATAAAAACTAATCAGTGCTGAAAAATTTGTACAAACCAATACGTTTAATTCATTCAAATCTAAGTCTTGTCTAAGCAAACTATCGACACGAATTATGTATACTTCCATCTCTACATTGAAGCGTGATTTAAACGCCAGTTTGAAAAATAAACCATGAGTTTCAACAGATACAGCAAATATTTTGAGTTTTAACATTTTATACAAAATTTCTTTACGACATCGTTTCGAACGAATCTTGGTTGTACTTCGTTATATGGGGTAGATGTTTCCGTAAGTACACATACGTTAGGGCTTTGAAAAATAAATAAAACAATCAAAAGTTGTGTACTAAGAGGGGTAACTCTATCTTAAAAAAAAATGCAAAGTTGCATGTTTCAAAACAAGCTTGACTGAACTAACATTATCAAAAGTTGGTGAAAACTTAGATAACCCAATTACCTACGTTTATAAAATATCATTAATATATACTAGATATTTTGTGAAAACTGGTGAAAAACATAACTTTTGGTTTTGGAGTTATGCTCCTGAAATATCGATTATTTTCCAAATTTTAGCAGATACTGTCTGTTATCGTAAAAATTATAGGAGCAAGCTTTATGTGAAAAGTGTATATTGCAAATATGATCAGCACAACATGATGTATCTACCCTGAAAATAAAAGAAAACAAATCTGTCGACCAGTTTTGGAGTCAATGCCCCTAAAATACAATTTTTGCCGTTGCTGGCTGTTATCATGAAACTCTAGGAGCTAGGTTAAAAGCGTTTACTGCAAAAATGATCAGCATGACAAAATCTATCTACTCTGAAAGTTTCACAATATAAAAAATAAGGAGATGAGGTATGATTGCCAATGAGACAACGCTCCACCAAAGTTCAAATAAAGTGGATGTACGCAATTATAGGCAACCGTACGGCCTTCAACAATGATAAAAACCCATACCGTAAAGTCGGCTATAAAAGGCCCGACATGAAAAATATGAAACAATTCAATTGAGAAAACTAACGGCCTAATTTATAACAAAACAATTAACGAAAAACAAATAGGACAGACATGAACCAACGACAACCACAGAACTACAGGCTCCTGACTAGGGACAGGCACATAAAGAATGTGGCGGGGTTAAACATGTTTGTGGGCGCTCATCAACCCTCCCCTTACCTTCGACAGTGGTGTCACAGCACAACATAAGAACAAACTATAAAAATCTGTTGAAACTCTTTTAGAGTCATTGCCCCTGATGTGTTGATTTTAACTGTTTTTTGTTTTTTTTTTGTTTTTTTTTTTTTAGGGGGGTGCCGTTTCGTCCCCGGACTCAGTTTATATCTAAAAAAAAAAACCATTTGATCTAGGTAAAACATGTAAATTGCAAAAATGATCAGCAATACAAGAGTAACTTTAGTCATGCTGTGTTTATAAAAGTCCTTATTAGCAAACTGGCGATTTTTGTTTTCACAAGGTGATCGAGTAACACAGACACAAGTGTGCCTCTTAATTGTGTCTTTACCCTTTTCTTTTGGAGGGGGGGGGGGGGTGAGGAGGGTTCAGTAATTGGTCTTTTTTTAAACTTAGTTTGTCCCTCTATTCTTATGGTGCATAACATGTACCGCAGTCGGGCAGATGTACGATATCTGCAAAATATATATTTTATTGTTATTATATTTACACCAAGATGTCGTTAAATGAAACTGGATACCCTGCATTTATCATGCTTTTCAATAACATATGATCAAATCGCTGAAAGACTCCCCTCCTAGATTTTTTAAATTTCTGTAAATTAGATGGCATGCGTGACCCATTCGGGCATAACCGCTATTCTTATACATAAATATTGTATGGATAAGAGCAAGAACACATTACCTAATTGAATAAATTAAAACAAATATAAGACACACAAAAAAATTACCAGACATATATACTGCAGTAACTGTTATATAAAAAAAAAAATACCCCCCCCCCCCCCTTTTTTTTCATTGAAAAAGAAATAGAGAAAGAGAGGTCTATGCATCGAGTTTATTTTAAAATCAGAAATGTCTGAGCCTAAAATGTGAAAAATGTATTTCATAACGCGACGGCGTAACATGGAATAGTGTTTACAAATATAAAGTCCTAAGGGGCATAAAACAAAGGGAAATAATTTTATCTGAAATTAGAATAGACCGGAAGTGGAAAATCCATTTTGTTTGTGTTATTGAATAACACTGTCTAACTCTAGAAGGTTTAACATGGCCAAACGCTAAACAAAAGTAACAACATGTTCCCATTAAGAAACTTTATTATATCTGTTGTGATTTTCATAACAAAAAATGTTGTTCAGGTAAATATACGATGAAAAGGTATACTCTGATACTGTGACCAGGTGACTGTCAAACTGAAACTGTTTATTTGTACACTATAGTATATGATATTGTTATGTAAACAAGTCGGGACCACTCACTCAAATGGGACATTCTTGGGTTATAAGAATCCATTTTGGCTATAATACACCATATAAGCGAATTTATTACAGTGCACCATGTCTTGTGATTTTAGATTTATCTGTTATTATTTTACTGCAGAACAGCAGTAAAATAAACAAGCACCTGATTTACATTTGTCATGATTTGATTCTGTCCACACATATGTCTTATACATGTATAGTCAGATCATATACTGCACGTATTTGCTAGTAAGAGTAATTTTCAAGGTGTCAAAACAGCCATTTTTGTCCATTTGTAATGTCTAATGAACGTTAATATATTTGTGCTGAAACAATATTAGACCACACTTTTCTATTTTGACCTTCTCACCCTAATTCAAACCTGCTGTAAGGTGACATCACTCATAAGTTAATGTTCACCTGCTTTTCAATTGCTTATAATAAGAGTCAAAGTCTGGATCTATCAACAAGTCTATGGTGCTAAATTGTGTGTTAGAGAAATGGTAAGAAAATATTTAAAAAAAAACAGTGAACTTATGAAGGTAACCTTTACTTAACCAGTTACAGTAACTGGTTTTTCCAGTTTTTTTTAATTATTTATTCAAGGTCTCTCAGGCCAAACAAAATTAAGTTTTCCTGATTAAAGTATTACAAAGGTATAAGTTAATTAGATCAAGTGTTGTTCAAATTAAAACCGCTAAATATATTTTAATTATGAAAAGGTCATCATATGAAATGACAGTAAATGAAAAAACAAATTATATTGGTAAAATTTTAAGCACTAATTTCACCCATTTATGTCATTAGAACAAGAATCAACTGATATTAGATTGTACAAATCATGCACATTGCAACTAAACATGCTAAAAATACCTATAGAATATTAATTAATCAGTTATATGTTGTATATTTTGCAGGTTGTTGCAGAAACTTGTTCCAATGGGATAATGTAAGTACATGTACAATACATATATGTTAGCGACAATAAGTGAAATTAGGCATTCAGCTTAAATCCTAGGTAATAAGCTAACGCCTAGGCAGTAAGTCTATTGCCTAAATAACGTTAGGCATTACTCTTAAATCCAAAGATTTAAACTTAAATCCTAAAAATTATGTCCAGGCATTAATGTTAATGCCTAAAATGAAAATGAGAGAAAATAAAAAGAAATTTATTCAAAGTTAAAATATATTTTTATGCCCCCGCCGTAGCGGAGGGGGCATTAAGTTTTACCCTTGTCCGTCTGTACGTCCGTCCGTACGTCCCAAAGTTGGTTTCCGTTCTCTAACTTTAGTTTGCCTCAACCAAATGTTATGAAACTTATACACAATGCTTATTACCACTAAATACAGATCAAGTTTGAATTTTGGTTGCGTCACTTTTACCGTTCTAGAGTTATGCTCCTTTGCAAATGGAAAAATTGCTAAATTTTTTCGTTTCCGTTCTCTAACTTGTTTGCCTCAACCAAATGTTATGAAACTTATACACAATGCTTATTACCACAATATAAAGATCAAGTTTGAATTTTGGTGTCATCACTTTTACTGTTCTAGAGTTATGCCCTTTACAAATGGAAAAATTGTTAATTTTTTTTTTTTTTTTTTTTTCTAAATATCAAGTCATTTTTAAAACTGGAGTTATCTTCCTTTGTCCATGATTATAGTTGAATCAACTACAATCAATGCTTTATACAATGCAATGTTTAATATTTTTACATAATAAAGTAATAAGAACTGAAGAACTGAAGTTTGAATGTCAATTACATGAAATAAAATCATCAGTTAGTGAAATATTGATGTTAAAACTCATTGAATCAACCTCTCAAAACATATGTAAACTTGTTGGATATATGTTTAGTTTTCTCATTGGCAGTCATTTTACATCTCCTTATTTTTATATTGATAGAAAATTGTATTGAAATTTATTTGATACCAATTGGTGCAGAGCTATGGCACAGAATATTTCACAGTTTTATTTTTTTCTAGCATTTGTACCTGGTGATTGTCCAATGCCTTTGTGTAGAGAATTTTTTTGTATATTGACAAATTTGATTCCAATTGACCACTTAATTCGTTGTTCCTCATCCATGCAGTAAGCATGTCATGAATATTTCCGTTTAACCACGCAATATTACCCTGTGACTTGAGAGATGTATAGGCTTCCCATGAACAGTAACTAGTTCTGGCCACATTAGCATTAATTCAGAAATAACCTTAGCTATAAGTTCACGACCTTTGTCACTTTGCTGTTTATGTGGCACACCAAATATTGTGAAAACATAAACTAAATTAGAAGCCACCTTTGAATCACTTTTTGACGTAAGAGCTCTAGTATTATATGAATGTTTTCAATGGTTTTAGGTGATCTTGGTACATCATAAGAAAATATAGTTTCCATCTTACTTTGATTGGAAATCGACTAAATCAACCTGTCCTCTTCTGTTTTTCTCAAAATACCATACAGTTCCTCTAGAAAAACATAAACTTTGAAATTTCCCTAAGCATTCTCTTTTGCTTTAGTTACCAGTCTTTCAAACCTCCAAAGGTTATAAATGTCATACCATTTTACATTGTAAAAGTCTATAGCTGCCTTATTTTCTGATTTTGAAAGTTTAATCTTTGCCAAATTATCATTGTACTTTTGGCTTGGGTGTATGCTCTTAGTTTTCCCTGATTCAAATTTATATTCCGCAGAGGTTCAAGAAATTTGTTGTTGCTTAAAGATGGATATGTAAGAACATTTACATATCCAATAAACAGACGGAAAGATGATGTAACTGGCAAAATTTCATATATTCAGTTGTCTATTTTTGACCAGCTCAAACTGGCTTGACCATTGAAGAGCAATACCACAAGGAAATATGAGTAAGTTCTGTTTTGAGTGCGGAAAAATACTAAAAATTGAAGATCTTTCAAATCAGTTTATATTGATTTTTGGCATATAATTTTTAAAATATTATTCATCAAGAATATTTCACCGAATGTTACATGTACAATGTACATGTATTTGGAAGATAAACAAAAATCCCAAAGTTAACTTATTGCCTGAAATGATGTTTGGCAATAGGTTGAATAATGATCATAAGATTTCAGGAAATAAGTTTAATGTCTGAAAATTTCAAGCAATAACTTAATGCCTAGGTGTTAGCTTATTGCCTAGGATTTAAGCTTAATGCCTAATTTCACTTATTGCTGCTAACATATACATATATAATTTTACAGAAGCACATTACATACTTCTGTCAGTAGAATTTTGGATTTTATCCATGCATCTTTGATATTGTGGCAACTCATATTTGACCAACCAACCATCTGATAGAAAAACACAGGATACTAAGCAATATTAAAAAATAACTAATATTCTTTAGTCATAGTGAAGCCATTTCTTATAGGCATTGTCTAGGGTTTTAACACTACATAATTTATATTGTCATAATTATATAGAGAATATCATATGGCTATTTCAATATCACACCTGTATCAACCCGAGACATTAATATAATCCCAAGAGCTCTGCTTGAGGGATTATACAGTTGTATTGGGTAGAGGTTTAATACAGTGTGTGAGATTGAAAAAGCCATATCATATATATATATATACACTTTATTTTATACCTTAGGTAGAAGCCTTTCACGTGACGTTAAAAAAACAACTTTAAAATCAAGTTTTTATTTGCAGATGTAACAGTCCATACACATGTTGTCATGGTAATTGCTGTCACGACAACGACGATGATTATATCTATGGTTATAGAATGTCCTTTTGGAATCTTTGGTATTTCTGGTAAGTTTGAGGAAAGTAGAATTACTTCAGATTAAACTTAACGATAACAGGGTACAATGTGTTTACTTAAGGATTACAGAGTACAGAGTCTTTATTTAAGGATAACAGGCTACAATGTCTTTACCTAAGGATAACAGGGTACACAGTCTTTACTTCAGGATAACTGGGTACACAGTCTTTACTTGAGGATAACAGGGTACACAGTCTTTACTTGAGGATAACAGGGTACACGGTCTTTACTTAAGGATAACAGGGTACACAGTCTTTAAGGATAATAGGATACAATGTCTTTACCTAAGGATAACAGGGTACACAGTCTTTCAGAGCTCCAGATAAGCTGCGTATTTGTGTGATCACGCAATACAAATAATTAAAAACCCAATGCAATTGCCCGTTGCAGGGTTCAAAAACCCAATTCATTCAAAGGAAAACCCAATTATATGCCAAAACCATGAGTTCTTAACGCTTTTATTCGCTATCGTTTGCGTTATTTACGCTTATCTGATTACAGTCGTTGCGTAAATCTATTTTTATAATATTTATAATTGGAAATGTCTTTTCGTTCTAAAAATAGAGCCCTGCATCAAGTAGCCGAAATGGGTCCCTGTTGGAATTTTCTGTTGCTCAAAAGGTACACGTGTTTATGAAAACATTTCGATCTTCTCGGCGTTTATCCAATTAGCGTTTGTCTTGTTGTCATATTTTTTTCGAATTGCTCGGGATTTATCATAACATACAATGAATTAAAACGAAAGTAAATATCCGATATAAATATTGAATAGAAGCATGTTTTCAGCTTCTTTTTGATACTTTAGGGAAAGTTATTATGATGATAACAAGACCCATTTGCGTACCTAAACGAGAACATTTCTAGAACGATAAACACGGGGTTTTGTCAAGAACGAAATCAGTTGGAAAAAGTGAAAGGCCAAATCAATTATGACATGATATATGTAGTTGGAAAGCATCAGAAACCAAAAGTTCTAATCAGCTGGGACAACTTAATCCAGATTTATGTAAATTAAATTAAACAAAAACATTCAAGTATAATTTTAGTTTATATATTATTTTTTTCATTTTAGTTGATGAGTGAATACACATATCCGTTTTTTACGTCAAAGCATCTTGACACTTTCTTTGTTTTGGTCTTATTGTTCTGTATGCTTATGATAATTGTCTTATTGGCAAGTGCAGTTTAACATTGTCATTTATTTATTTGATGTTGCAGAATTATTTGTAAATTTAACTCTGTAAATTTAAGTTGAATGTGGTCTCCGTCATTAAACCTATAAACCTGGTCAAGGTTTTGGGGTATATCTTAAATCTGGGAACTACTTATTATTTTTATTAAAAAGTAGATCTGGCAAATAGGTGAAAGGACTGGCAAAACTTTCTTGCAGCACCTAAATTTCACATATATTACATAAAAATCTAAACACTTAGCCACAACTACCCCAACTAAACTGGTGATCATATGGGATCTAGAAAGGTAATTAGTAACTGTCCAACTAGTGACACCAGCTGCAGTTTATATAAGTTGTGAGAAAATACAAAACTGGCAGAACGTTTAAAATCGGACACAAATTAAACATACAATTGCTCGTCAGTGAATAAACCAAATAAAACAGCTAGCATATATACAAAGAAAGAAACACATTTAAGATGGAAAAACATCTGCATGGGGTTGATATAATGTGATTATAACATGCCTAAAAATTCAATATTGTGTTGATGAAATAACCCAATACATTAAGGAGCTTGATTGTGAAAAAACCCAATTTGATATTTGCTTGAGGGGTGAATTGGAATTGATAATGCAATTTAAAAACTTTATCACCCAATTACATCAAAAAATGGTGGGTAAAAACCCCAATTTGTGAATTCTTATCTGGAGCTCTGGTCTTTACTTCAGGATAACAGGGTACACAATCTTTACTTAATGATAACGGGGTACACAGTCTTTAAGGATAATAGGGTACACAGTCTTTACTTAAGGATGACAGCTTACTCAGTCTTTACTTCAGGATAACATTACACATTGTCTTTACTTAAGGATAACAGGGTACAATGTCTTTACCTAAAGATAACAGGGTACAATGTCTTTACCTAAGGATAACAGGGTACACAGTCTTTAAGGATAACAGGGTACACAGTCTTTACTTAAGGATAACAGCTTACTCAGTCTTTACTTCAGGATAACATTACACATTGTCTTTACTAAAGGATAACAGGGTACAATGTCTTTACCTAAAGACAATAGGGTACAATGTCTTTACCTAAGGATAACAGGGTACAATGTCTTTACCAAAGGATAACAGGGTACAATGTCTTTACTTAAGATTACAGGGTATACAGTCTTAAGGATAACAGGGTACAATGTCTTTACCTAAGGATAACAGGGTACAATGTCTTTACCTAAGGATGAAAGGGTACAATGTCTCGACTTAAGGATTACAGGGTATACAGTCTTTAAGGATAACAGGGTACACAGTCTTTACTTGAGGGTAACAGGGTACAATGTCTTTACCTAAGGATAACAGGGTACACAGTCTTTACTTAAGGATAACAGGGTACACAGTCTTTACTTAAGGATAACAGGGTAAAGGACATGAATTGAAGACCGTACTTTGACCTATAATGGTTTACTGTTATAAATTGTGACTTGGATGGAGAGTTGTCTCATTGGTACTCATACCACATATTCTTATATCTATGAATGTTTTTGCCTAGGAATAATAATATCATGGACATGAATTCCTAGGAAAATTAGTCTGGGGACAGAAATTTTATTAAAGATTAATGCACAACTGTTAAACCAATCATTAGAACATAATAATTATAACTTCCATTATGTACATGATTTCTTTCTTTACAAATTTTCGTAGTAAAATAAAGGACATTGATATTTTTACCTAGGAATAGTAATGAGATGGACATGAATTTCTAGGAAAATTAGTCTGGGGACATAGATTTTATCAAAAGAATAATGCACAACTGTTATACAATATTGAAACATAACAATTAAAAATTTCATTGCTTACATGTAAATGATTGCTTTCCAGTAAAATAAAGGACACAGATGTTTTTATCTAGGAATATTAATGACAAGGACATGAATTCCTAGGAAAATTAGTCTGGGGACATAGATTACTGACATCAGACTAAAAATACTAGTAAAATTTTGTAACCATGGACTTTTTATCCTAGTAATATGTGTCCACCTGTACACATTTTACCAGGACTAATTTATCTCTTACATATATTGTTGTACATGAGAATATTTTTACTCTAAACATTTTTTACATTTTGTATAATCAACTCTTTTGCAAAATCATAGTTTATAAGGAATTTGTACTATGAATACAAATATGTACCCTAAAACAAAGGAGTATGTCCAAGAATATTCAATTTTGGCTCTAAAAATCAATTTTTGGGTAAAGATTGCATGAAATGTAATTAAAACCCTATGGTACTGACTTGATATCTATATCTCCCAAGGTTGATCACTACCTTTGATAGTTCAAACAAAATAGTGCAGTGACGTGATCATGATCATTATTTAGATTCAGTCAATGTCATGCTATTTATTGATGATATGGTATACTTTGATACATAAGTAATTCATGGTGTATTAATCTGTTATAAATATATGTTCAACTACAAATGTACAATCATGACAAAGGAAAATAACTCCAACTCAAATTTTTGATTTGCCTAGCAAAATACAATTCAATGTTTTATATAAAAATTCACAAAATTGCAAAATGAAAGCAATATTTACCCTTCAGTGCTCACAAGCACTTTGATTATATATGTTGTGTACAAACTGTAATGTTGTACAAATTATAATTTGTACAGAATTTTTGTACAAGTTATCAGTGTTTTATGAACCGCTTAACACAAATGGATGATACAAGCACACAGTCTTTTGTTTCGCATATTTCTGTCATATTTCCATGACTACATGATACAGTCTAATACTGAGCATTGATACAAAAAAAAAATATAACACAAAAAGACTTTTTGTGGATATGATTTTGGTATAAGGAGAAAAATATAAATAGAATTTAAACCTTCAGGTGTCCTTATTTCCATTTTTAGGACTAGGAGAATAGCACTTAATGTTAGGTTGAAGTATATAAATTTGAATTTTAGACATTAAGCTGATAAATTATAGAAGATAAACTTTTATCACCTGGTGCAAAAGGGTATGTGTCAAAAAACTTATAACTTGTACAAAAATCCTGTACAAATTATAATTTGTACAAACTTATATCTTGTACACAACATATACATTGCACATGCAATGACACAATTGTGAAATAAGCTAAAAATGTATTTTACAGGTTTATAATTCTGTTTGTTTTGATGTCATGTTTCGGAGGTTGTGGATATTACAAACAGCGCCAGAGGATAATTCGTAGGAGGACTGGTTCTCCAACACGTAGTAACAGAAGATCCAGAACTATCATACTCACTAACACAGGGGAGACAAACCCTACATCTTATGCATATTCAGGGCCTGGTGCTGAGCCTTATAGCAATGTTTACCAACCACCTCCTTATTCTGAGGTATTTGTTTTTTAGTCAGTGTCCATAGACTAGGTGATTCAGAATCTAAAGATTAAATGTATTCCTATGTCACATACAGCAAATGAAAATGTGTCTCATTGGATAAATAACAACTTTGCTGTCATTATTTTTAGACAAATTAAACATTCAAGAATGTTCTTATATTCTTAACCAGGAAATAAAACAAATATGAAGTGTTATGTGTACATTTGCGATATGAATATTGGTTGAATTCAGGTAGAATTATGATTTGTTCAATTTCTTGAATTTATTTATATATAAAAGTTTTGAAAATGAACATCAAATTAACTGCTGATCAAACAACTCCAGAGATTTAATGAAGCTAAATTTGAATGGGAATTGGATTGGCTCCCCTACCATAGTTTTAAGTTTTATCAATTAAGTGGATAAGACATTTTTTTTTTAAATAGACCTTAACAGGAGATAGCTCAGTAACACAAATTGGCAATATTGTTTGCAGACTAGCCCTAAAATGAGACACACAAGTGCAATAACTATTTACAATTTTCATGAATATATACACATTTTCAAATTTTTATCTAGTACTGTTTCTATTGTTTTGATTTGGAATTGCAAAACACAGTAGAAAGTAAGTTATTTCTGCAAAGTCCTAATCCCTCTAACAATATGGTTTGATCCAAATACATTGTCTGACTTCACAGTGTAATTATTGGTTATGTGCACACAAAATTAAGATAAGTTGAAGAGAGTTTTACAATTCACTTGAATTAATCGTTGCCAACTTAATTTCATATACCGGTAAATGCTATTTTTGGGGAAATAGAAGTATTTCTGATATAATTAATGAAATAGTGAAATAGAAATCACCTAACTGAACATCAATGATGTATTTTAGTATCAGTTTTAAATTTTCTCTATTTGCTTGGGATAATATTAATATACATGGACATACTTGTGATGATCATACAACATGTTGTTATCTGTAGTTCTGTGTTAAATGAGTTATCAACATTTGATATGAAAGATATCTGTCACATTTACTCAGCTAAATTCAAATATTAGAAACATGAAAATTTGAAACAGTAGTTTTTTTCAGAAACGATGGTTGATTTGTAGATCTTAAACTAGTTAAGTAATGCTTAATTAATTTATTTTAGGTAATGTTGCACCCAGGACTATATCCCACCAATAAAGAAAATCTTCCTCCTTATCCTGGAGATTTAAGTCAGAGTAGAACAGGTCAGTTAAACTGATACCAGTATAGCAAGATACCTGTATAATAATGACTCATAAGTTATTACTGGTAAACTAAGATAAGCTAATAAAAATAGATATGAATTACAACTGATAGATCATAATTATCCCGGTAAAATTACTATTATTATACATTTTCATATAAATGTTGTATGGATATTATTTTCCTCCTATATAGCTACTGTTATATTGGTACATGTACCATGATCATCATTACTATTGATACACAAGAAGTAAATTAGTTAAAGAAGTAAATACTTCATTAATTATTGCAGTATTCAAGTTGAGTTAAAAACTGTTAGAAATTGTCTTTTGATAATAATAATTGATTGCTGCTGACCACAGAGGTTGCTGTTAAAACTTACAATAGATAAAAAAAGAAAAATAAATTTAGAGTTTCCATACTTATTCAAATTTTTTAAGCCTGAAAATGACTACCATAATAGGAACCTCTTGTTTTTCAAGAGTACTTTCAGAATAGGATACTTTATATAAGAGAGGGACGAAAGATACCAGAGGGACAGTTATATGTTAGAAGTGACATGAGCTAGATTGAATGAGGTAAAAAGAAATAGATCCCCAATTTTGTACCATCTTGGACATATACATATGTTTCAATTGTGTGAACAACACTATTTTAGATACATGTATCATGTATGCAAAAGCTACTTATATATTAAAGCAAGACAAAGCAATTAAGTTTGTTAATATATTGTAGATGCAGATACAGTGCCTATAAATACTGATTCAGTCCCAATTCAGCCACCACCATACACAGAGATAGCCAATCAAAATACAGATCTGAATCAACCAACCTATCAGAACACTACACCTCAAGCTGCTCATCAAAATTTTGCACCTTTACAGCAACAGACAACCAATCAGCAAGCACCTCAGGAGACCAATCAGAATGTAGCCTAACTAACTCCGAGAACAGTAATTGTGCTTTATGCTGTAATGTAAATGGAATATACTGGTCTCACTTGTCTCTTGGTGTTTCCATAAAGAAATCCTTTTATTATTCATTTCCAGTTGTTCCATTCAAATATAAATTATTTTTTAATTGTTGTATATTTTATGTATATGAAACTTTAATATCTAGTTATGATTCCTAAAGAGGCATATTTATGACATTAGGAAAAATATAATGTCATTTCTATAGTAAAGTTAAACATGCGTCTGGTGTTCAAAATTCTAATTCTAGTATCTATGGTGACTTTATTTATAGAATTATTTACTTATTCTGATATATGGTCCATACTAACTAAAATTTGAAAAGTGGAATTAACTATTAAAAGATTTGAAGCAAAATGTTAAATTTAAAAGTACAAAGATGAAAACGTGAATTAAACTTATGAGATATATCATTGAAAGTGTTAATTTATTTGAATTAAAATTAAATTGTTGAAATTAAGTTTTTGTATTTATTTTCTATGTTAAATACTTGAATGGATCAACCATTTTTAACACATTTGTAATCCTAAATGGCTTATTATCATGAAGACAATCATTTACTGTTTATAGTTAAAAAAAATATATATATTGCTGTCTGCCTCCCAATCAACCCTATGTTGGCAGCCAATCCAAAAACAATTTATTGCCTTCTTAAAAAATTTAAAATCATATTACTGTATATGAGTAAATTCTGAATCCTATTTGGGCTGACTTTTTTGGTCAAATTTGTGATAGAATTTACCAAAATATAGTGAGAAGTAGTCATTAAATTTGAAATTGTAAAAGTTCTGTCACTTCTGAATCCTATTTGGTCAAATTTGTGATCAAATTTACCAAAATATAGTGAAATGTAGTCATAATATTTGAAATTGTAAAAGTTCTGTCACTTCTGAATCCTATTCGGTCAAATTTGTGATAGAATTTACCAAAATATAGTGAAAAGTAGTCATAATATTTGAAATTGTAAAAGTTCTGTCACACATGCACCAAATTACAGACCTGTAGTGATAAAAGAAATTGTGTTAGGCTGCATGAAAATTGCAGATGTATATTTTTTTGCCCTTGTATAAATATGTTATATATTTTGTCATGAATGTGTGTAAAATGTTTTAGAATAATCAGATTATTTAAGTTACAATAGTATCTTTATTCTTTACAATTCTAAAAGCAGTGAAAATCAGGGTTCCACTCTTAGAAGAAAAAAAGCCTGAAATATAGTAGCAGTCCTCCTGTATAGGAGTGCCCTTGAAATTCACGTAAATGGGGGTGACACAGAAAAACCATGGAATTTCTAGCCTTCATTGGAGAGGTACTTGTCTGTTATTTGTAATTTTCTCAATTCCAAAAGCTTCAAGATTTTAACTGTAGTTCCAATGTCTGTTGGACCATTTTTGGCCAATAATTTATGACAGGGAGTCTTTTCCAAATGTCTGAAAGTGAAAAGTAAATTTTGGTTTCTTCATTTATGTCTTCTCTTTCCTTCATTGAAAACAGATAAGTTCTTGAAAAATTTGGATTTTTTTTTTTGCAAAATGAGTGGAACCCTAAAAAAATGCACAGCCTCCATTTACTTGCTATGTTATTTATTGTCAGTAAACACACCTACTTTCAGTTAGGGAAATATACTTCCCCATAAAATGCAGGACTTAATTGTGTATAAAGGTGAAAATAAAATTCTGCACAGGAAAAAAACACCTTTGGTACAAGTGAAAATGAATATTCCTCCAGAAAAATCCTGCCTCCCCAAAATATCAAATGGTCTCCCCATAAATATAAGAAAAAGTTCATGGGTTTGAAAATTTTTTCTTAAAATACAGTTGTTATTGAAAGAGGTGTCTAGAAAGGATAGATGATACCTGAATTTATATAATAGTATAGGTGTATCAATTTGTATGTGAATCCATATGATAATGTCTATGCATTTAAAACATACTTTGAAGGTTGTGAGATATTGTTTTATATAAATAACATCAATTCTTCAGTAATATTTATAAATTTTTAATAGGTATCCTAAATTGCCAAATGTTGAATTGCATCATGTGTTTTAAACTTTTATGCTGTTGTAGAAATTTGTAAAATTATTTTAAACTTGTCTTTTTAAGTATGTTTTCAGTATAAAATAGCATGTAATTTACTCTCAGTTTTAATGCACTTGTAATAGAGGAATATTTTCCTTGTGCAAATTACAGTTGACAATTTGCTACCTATAACTTTTTATGTAATGATTAAAAATGATGATGATGTTATTTGCTAATAGTAAAGTTTTGGGTATTCATGACACCAAGTTTAATAGAGTGTCAAACTAGTTTTACCGTATGCACCGAATAGAAATGTTTTAGGTATAAAACAAGCAAAACCTTTGTAATCAACATTACACTGCAGTTGTACTGCTAAACATTTCCTTCATTGGATGGTCAGAATAACTCTAAAGGAATTTAACATTTTGAATCATAACTTTTACAATTTTTGTGTTCAAGTCATATATATTCAATTAAGAATTGTTTTTGGTTGGAGAGAAATCCATGTACTTTTGTGAGTTGTTGGATTAAAGGTTGAAATCCAGTCTTTTATTTTATAATATTTTGAATGTTACCTCTTTATGGTTTAGCTCTGTTTGTTATTTTTTAATCGCTATATGCGAGTCTTTATTTAAGTAATATTTATTGGTTGAAAAAAAAAAAAAAAAAATCATTTTTGTGATCAACATTAGTTGATGATTTATACCCGTGGACTTTAGAAACGCAACACACATTTTTGTGACTTTTTTTTACCAAATCCTGATTAATCTTCATACAATTGCTTTTCATGCTTACCATACTTCTTTCTGTTTAGAAAAATTCATTACCTGACTTACTTACTTACCTGAGGTAATTGAACAAACCAGATTATTGATGTCGCATGAATTTCTAAAAGCGAAATTTGAAACCAATGCATGATATTTTTTTTTTAATTTCTTGGTGAAACATTTCTTTGAATCCATACCCACACTTTAATCAGTAAAAAAATGTTACATTTCCATATTGCCAAGACTGAACAAAATCTGAATCAGGCCATAAGACTTTTGCTGACAGGAATACATCAGTGTTTTGTTTCTAGACCATTTCACGTCAGAATCTCCTCTTAAAGGCCAGACAGACAGACAGGTTTGTAAATGATCCCCCATGACGACATAAAGCTGTAGTGACAACGCAATGTCAATAAAATGTTATTATGTAATGTCATATGCGAGATAGGTTTAAGACTGCAACTTCAATTGCTTACCAAAGTGTTCTGATGTCATGGAGGACAGATTCACCCCTTAATTGTATCCAATATACTAGAATGCCTACAGAAAAACATTTAAAGGACTACAGTTTAAACAACATAACTGCCAAAACAGACTGTAAAGGGTAAGACAGAGGCAAAATCTGATGGGACAAAACAGAACTCAAAACATGCACAAAAGAGCTGGTTGACTTTTCTGTCAATTATTTTGGAGCTGGTTACAAGCAGACTTTGACGGTGACACATCCATTGATAAGGAGAAAACTAGGCTTTCATTGCATACCACATGATTTAAACATAATAAATCAAATTTTAACTTCCAAACTGTAAATTTTATTTAGACAATGGAGTAATGAATGAAACTTATGTTTATATATTTATTTTACAAGTATTGCATTTTTTAACATTGAAATTAAAAAGAATAATCTTGTGTTGGGTTTTTGAAGTCTGTCAGTAAGTATAGTTGAATCAGATTTTTTTCTAGACCTAGAAGTAAATTGTGTATTATAGTTAAGAGAAGGTGATTTAAATTTAAGGTCTTAATCATAAAACACAAATGTGTGCATTTGCTTTGATTGAGTTGGAGCAGTATTATTATAATTCATTCTATATGCATAATATTTTATATTATATTGTGTAATCAATCAATCAAATGTTTGATTGATTTTTTTATGATTAAGTCAAGTTTAGAGGGTTTTAAATGATAGTTGTCATCTCTGCCAATATTACATGTATTACCATTTTTAACTAACCAGGTCCTTCCAGCAATGTGAGCTATTGGATCACTTTGTGTCTGTCAATGTCCAATATTTTACATTTCCATCTGTTTCTATGAAATCAAGTTCACTCAACCAAACTTTACAGGAATGATCTTTAATGATCCTCATTTTGTTCAGATTGGTTGTGAGACATGTCTGTCAGTCTGAGTGCCAGAGACTCTTTGATTCTGATTGGACAATTTTTTTTTTCATCTGTAAAAAATTACATTTTCTTTTTTTTTCTCTAAACTCAATAATCTATTTTAATCAAACTAAAGATAATTTTATCGGACCTTATCTTCTCTTTTACAATTGAGGAGTTGAGGAGATGAGCAATGCAGTCTCCAAGAACCACTATAGTTAAATGCTCCTCAGTGCAAAGATTTATTTTGATATACAAGGCCTTGGTAGGAATAAGAGGAGTATACAGTATGAGAACCTTTTGTAATTATAAAAAAAAACAAGAAAAAGCTAGGTTTGAATTAAATGCATGCACACATTATATAAAATTCTGGCAAACAGTTTACAGGTATTAACTGCACCCACAACAAAACTTTATGATCCTAAAAGTTGCTGAACAAATAGGATGAATATATTATAGAAATATTTAAAAGTGTAAAGAAGGAGCAGGATCATTTGAAATGAATTTTTGTTGTATTTTTATATGTAAAGTGATCTTTCTTGCCATTTATATCAACAAAAAATCATGGTGTTATCAATGTTATTTGAATATTACTTTAGGAAATATCATTTTATGGTGCATTTTATATATTTTAATTTTGGTTACAAGAACTAATTTTAAATGTTCCTACTTTTCACTCTACTACACATTTTTGAATAATATTATTAAGATGAAACATTTGTGTAACTGTAATCATTTATCAAAAAGAACCTTTGGAATTAAAAGTTATTCACCTGTTCTTTCATACAAATGTTTGCAGATAATTCTGATATTATTGAGCTTTTAAGCTATATCATTTTAAAATATTTAGTTGAAGGTTTATCATTGTTGATCATGTGCATTGTTTTTTTAAATTAAGAATTTATTTACTGAACCAAAACGAAAAGGATTGTTATCAAGTGAAAAAAGAATTTATTATTTTATATATATTTGCCTTATGTTAATGTATATCGTTGTGAATGTATTCAAAGAATAAAGAATCATTGAAAGTGTATGGTGTTAAACTTATAGCTCTACACATAACATAGTTAATGATATTTAAGTGACATTTTCAAACAACCTTTGAAAGGTAAATTAGGTGTAAATGTTGAAGAAAGTTGCCCAATGTATATGAGTGAAGTTATTAGTATTCAGATCATGTTCTCTTTTAATACAGGACAGTCTTACTAATACTACCAGGAGGGATTCATAATGGAAATTTGTATTTCCTAAGTTATCATTAATTAAAATGGATATGGGGCAAGTCCCACACTAGAACTATGTGAAATTGACATGATATTGACTTTTTATTGCTGTGAATTCATATCTTTTTCTGTTTAGACTAATTGATATAAGGTTTAAAAAAGGAATCTTAGATTAATTTTCGATGTGATATTGCTGAAAAATAAGTGAAAGTATTAATTTATGTGCTTTTCACAACCTTTTGAGTCCTAAAATGCAATAAAAACTTTCCTGTTGATCATGCTTTTATTATTTTCAATTTTGCTAAATGCAAATCTGGTTTAAAATATAATGTATATCAGACAGGCATAGAAATTTTCTTATGAATTCAATTTAGTTAATATACAGCTGCAGTCCCATTGTAGGGTACCAATTTGTGAAATCAAGTCCTCTTACAGTTTTTTTTACCAAGAACCTTCAAATTATCCAGTATGGTTGTATATACACTGAAGATGTGCATCTCACTTTTGTACATTTATGTACATAATGTGCATATCTTTCATATGACACAATTTAGGCATTTTCAGCAGCAGCCACAGTGTCGGATACCTATACAACTAACTTTCTAGAACAACAAGAAATACATTGCAGATATGCACCTTTCGTTGTATACAAATTTGTTGAAGTATTGCAGATGGTGAGAATTATTTCAGCAAAATTTGATGATGGGTAACTGTATTAAGCTCACCTGGCCCAAAATTAATCTCCTGTAAAACTACTGGGCCAAATAACCAAACATCCTTGGGGTATCTAATTTATAAATGTGTCCAATGGTCCCACCTTCTAAACATCAAGGCTGGCATGGCTAAAATATAACATAAGGGTACCAGGTAATATGCAAGTTTTGTCTATTATCTTTAAAAAAGATGCAGAAAATCTGACAAGATGCAGAAATGTTCCGAGTGTTGAGATCTACCTACTGACAATTTACACCAAAACTTACACTTATAAATGAACCCTTAATTGACGATTTTTACTAATTCCTTTATGTTTGCCTTATTATCTTAAAAACTAGAATAATAAAACTTAAAATGGCATAAATGATCAACAAGACTACACCTACAAATAAATCATCATGACAGAAATGGTGGGTTAACTCCTTATAAGAGTACCCTCATAGCCCCTAAATGACGATTTCTATTTAAAAAAAAACCCGTTTTGGCTTATCCTTTTGATAAGTATAATAGATAAAGAGGAAACTTAATTTACAAAGACGATCAGCAGGACAAGATCTTAGTGCAAAGCGAATTAGAATTAATAGTAAGCGGAAAATTATCCAAGAATAAAATTAAAAGCCCCAAGGATGTTGTATTTGGCATATCAAGTGTATTGCACTTTATGCAACTTAAACCAGAAAATTCAAAACAAAAAAACACATTTTAACTCCAATCTTTATTTTCCACCAAAACTTCCGAAGTTAGCATTGATTGCATTCGGATCAAATGTACCAGAACTGCTGCTGCTACTGCTGCTTGATGAACTACTACTGCTTGACGAAGAACTACTGCCAAAGCCAGAACCACTTCCAAATCCCCCAGAAGATCCTCCACTGCCCGATCCACTTCCAAATCCCCCAGAAGATCCTCCACTGCCCGATTCACTTCCAAAACCAGAACCACTTCCAAATCCCCCAGAAGATCCTTCACTGCCCGATCCACTTCCAAATCCCCCAGAAGATCCTCCACTGCCCGATCCGCTTCCAAAACCAGAACCACTTCCAAATCCCCCAGAAGATCCTCCACTACCCGATCCACTTCCAAATCCCCCAGAAGACCCTCCGCTACTAGATCCACTTCCAGACCCGCTGCTCTGTCCAAAACCACTTCCTCCGAATCCTCCAGAAGATCCACCACTTCCAGATCCGCTGCTCTGTCCAAAACCACTTCCTCCGAATCCTCCAGAAGATCCACCACTTCCAGATCCGCTGCTCTGTCCAAAACCACTTCCTCCGAATCCTCCAGAAGATCCACCACTTCCGGATCCACTTCCAGATCCGCTGCTCTGTCCAAAACCACTTCCTCCGAACCCCCCAGAAGATCCACTTCCAGATCCGCTGCTCTGTCCAAAACCACTTCCTCCGAATCCTCCAGAAGATCCACCACTTCCCGATCCACTTCCAGATCCGCTGCTCTGTCCAAAACCACTTCCTCCGAATCCTCCAGAAGATCCACCACTTCCCGATCCACTTCCAGATCCGCTGCTCTGTCCAAAACCACTTCCTCCGAAACCTCCAGAAGATCCACCACTTTTAGATCCGCTACTCTGTCCAAAGCCACTTCCTCCAAATCCTCCAGAAGATCCACCACTTTCAGATCCGCTACTCTGTCCAAAGCCACTTCCTCCAAATCCTCCAGAAGATCCACCACTTCCAGACCCGCTGCTCTGTCCAAAGCCACTTCCTCCGAATCCTCCAGAAGATCCGCCACTTCCAGATCCGCTGCTCTGTCCAAAGCCACTTCCTCCGAATCCTCCAGAAGATCCGCCACTTCCAGATCCGCTGCTCTGTCCAAAACCACTTCCTCCGAAACCTCCAGAAGATCCACCACTTTCAGATCCGCTGCTCTGTCCAAAGCCACTTCCTCCAAATCCTCCAGAAGATCCACCACTTCCAGATCCGCTGCTCTGTCCAAAGCCACTTCCTCCGAATCCTCCAGAAGATCCGCCACTTCCAGATTCGCTGCTCTGTCCAAAGCCACTTCCTCCGAATCCTCCAGAAGATCCACCACTTCCCGATCCACTTCCAGATCCGCTGCTCTGTCCAAAACCACTTCCTCCGAATCCTCCAGAAGATCCACCACTTCCAGATCCGCTGCTTTGTCCAAAACCACTTCCTCCGAATCCTCCAGAAGATCCACCACTTCCAGATCCGCTGCTCTGTCCAAAGCCACTTCCTCCGAATCCTCCAGAAGATCCACCACTTCCAGATCCGCTGCTCTGTCCAAAACCACTTCCTCCGAATCCCCCAGAAGATCCACCACTAGCCGATCCACTTCCAGATCCGCTGCTCATTCCAAAGCCTAAGGCATTTGGATCAAACGTACCTAACAAATAAAAAAGTTCCATTTTGTAAGAAAGTAGTACACGAGAAAAAAAAACTAGAATAGAACATTATTAATCAGGATAATTGAACAAATCTTTTTTGAAAGAGAGTAATTGAATTTCGATTATTGAAAGCATATAACGAACATTACGAAATACGTAATGTGTAAATAAACAACAACTACAAAGAACACACATAGTAACAACACAAAAGAAAAGTCTTAGTATGTATTTGTTGATTAAGCTTGATTGTTGTATGCCTCAAGTGCAGCGGCAAATATTTCATGCATGTTCAGGACATTCCAATTTAAAAGAAAATAAATTAACAATAAATATAATGGGTAGGTCCTGCAGTAGGGAGTCGACCGGGATGATGGGCGGCAAATTTGAATGTCACTGGAAAATGAGGGTATATCGGAGACAGCAATTTAGTCTTGAAACAGGCCACATACAGATCCCTTAAAGAGTTGTTGCAAGGGTTCTTAACATGCAGAGAACGTAGCACATTCTCTTCAAGAGGCATCGCATTTATTTTCCATGTTCTTACCGGACGTGGCTGCTAATTTATATATCCCGCACAACCAAACGGAGGCCCAACGTTATAAAGGGTTTTACTGCCTGTCGGAAGAAGACCAAGTAACCATATTTCAATACCCCAGTCACCCTTTGGATTTTAATTAATGAAAGCAAGTCCAAAGAACTTGTTTGCGCCTTGAATATCTAAAATCTTTAAAGTAGTATTAAAGGGCCATAAATAACTGTCATATTTGTAAAGGTTGTATGGAAATCTAGGAGGGAGGTATAAGCCACTTCTCATTTTAAGATTCAAAATGGAAAATCAATCCTAATGACTAAAGTTATTGGTGTCTGTAAAACTGAGAAAATTGTACAAATATCTTACATCAAAGCATTGTAATTGAAGACATGATGAAAAATAAAGTAGCAAGTTTTACATGTAAATTTTGTGATGAAGGCCTCTCGATACCAGATTAAATCCGTGAAGTTCAGTGGTATGGTATAAACACTTTATATGACGAGTTTTGTTATCCGTTATCACAAAGCGCAGATAATTCGTTATCATAAATTGTTGTGTATTCCCTATTCCAATTAACTAATTTTTTACATATTTTTTTCTCTCGCTAAAATGAATTTCGAATTCTACAATCATTAGAAAAATAGAATTGTAAAAAAGTAATAAATTTCAGTCCTGCATATACTCATCTAAAACTAATATTCCTTTACTTAATAAGATCTATCATGTTATCTTAATATCATTATTTTAAGACAATCAAAGAACCCCTATCTGATGTATAGTCAGGATTTTGCTTTGGTCCAATGAATCTGTGAACTATTGAACCTTTAACATAAGAGTACGGACATCTCGTATCTGTAAGTGCATTTCATTTACGATGCTTCTAATATTAGCCACTTGACGTTAGCGATAGTCGTCAATCAATCGATTTTGTTACAAATAAACTATGAGAACATCAACATTACGTACTTAACAATAATACATAATTCTAGTTATCGATTGCAGTTTTTTCCGCTTTATCAATAAGAAAATGTGATGTTATTTAATTATGTAAGTACACCTTGTTGTCAAACAAGGTCGTGTAAAAATATTAGAACTTTTATTATATCCTCGAAAGGGTTAACCTTATACTTTTGTGTTTTTGTCTATGAAAAGACTGTAGACGAGGTCAAGTCTTTAATATGCATACTTATTGAACTTGGTTCACACATACACGAGTTTGATGTGAAAGTCTTATTCCATTTTCAAGAATTTAATAAAAGTGCTATTTCACAAACAGTTTTTAATACTGTTAATAGTGCAAACTAGTATCGGAATCTAAATTTGCCTTTGTCTGAATAGACTTATCGATAAAGTTTGTAAAACATAAGTCGAATAAAAAAAGACAACGCTATTACTAAAGTTAATCAGATGGGAAGACACAAAGAATAGTCAACAAAACACTTATCAAAACAAAAGAACCGGCAATGATTGTTAAAGGACAAAAACTGTTAAGACAGAGATATGTCTCGCCTTTTTGTTATTTTGATAGTAAAATGCAAATTTTGAAATTAAAATAGCAATACTTTAACATGTAAGTTATGCAAAATAGTCAGTCAATAATGAACGATGACTGAATCTTCATCGAAATGAGATGTGCTAATGCTAATACAACTGCGTACCATATGTCATTGACCTACCACTAGTGGTTCCCCATAAACTGACCTAATCACATACCAAAACATTGTTACGCTGCCGCCGACGCGGGAAACGGTATACATATGTCGCTTTTTGACCCCGTCAAGGCGAGACAAAATCCACTGATATGTACAGCTAAAACTTATGTCAACGATTTGTCGTAAGACTAAGACGCTAGAAAAGGGTTGTTCAAGATATTCTTATATTATTGTCCTGTGTTCATCTGACAAGACACAAAATCAAATCGATTTGATGAGAACTTGGTTTGAATAAACTGAGGCGTCAGCAGGATTAGGTCTCCAAGTAAATAATACTATATACTAGATCTTTCACTACATACTAAATATGTAAACGCTGGTAATTTGATTGATTTTCAAAGATTTGATACAAAATTTTAACGTCTTACCGTCTGATTGAATCAAAACGGGAAGGAATAATCCAAGCAACAAGAATACAGTTCTCGCCATGGTGTCACGTTGAATAAGGTCTTTAGTTTATTGCTTATCTAAATGAAGGCTAGTCTTCTGACCTTTTGATTATATTAGAATACGTGTCAATGATGTATACCTATATTAGTCCAGTGGAGATTATACTTGATGGCCGATATGGACCAAATCCTTTCATTAAAATAAAGTATGCAAAAAAGTCGTACTTAATCAAAAGTACAGGAGTACAATAAGAACAGATTTATTTTCAATGTATATATAATAAGAGCATTGTTAGTGGACGAACACTTGATATTCGGGGAGGGGAGGAGGATTTCTTTCAGATTGACTATTTATTTTCATTTATTGCTACGCAAAGCCGCGTGAAAATTTATTTTTATTTTACAATTAATTCCTTCATTTTATGTTGCAGATTATTCATTTCACCCTGTGTTGGCCAATATCATATATTTTCAGCTTACCAAGCAAAGATATTCATTTTCAAACCCCTCCCGGTGGGGTCAAATAGTTGTCTCCTTTAATAAAACCCAAAAAGTCAGTGAACATCCGCATTCAAACATGAAAATAATGTATATGCATATCGATGCGAGCAAGTCTTTTTTTTTTTTGTGCATATTCAACAAAGGACACTCTCCAACATTGTAGAACGGAATAGAATTCATGAAAAAAAATCTGTTTTGTTGATCTTGTATGGCTGATAATTTAGCCTATTTAGTTTCTCTCTATCTTCTTTAGTTTTTGCTCAAAACACAAAAGAGGATAAAAAAATCCTCATTTAAGGGCAATCACTACTATAAAGAGTGACAGTCTACTAAACTATATCGGCAAAATTTGACTTGTTAGTAGATCTTGACTTGCTGATCATTTTGTGATTTAAAGTGTATCTTTATCTTTTATAATTTTCTATCATATATGGCAAAATGCAACAAAAAAAAGTGAAAATCGTCTTTAAAGGGTAATAACTCCAATAAGGAGTCGTCTGACCATTTCCTCCATATTGTCTTCATTGTAGTATTTGTTTTGCTGATCATTTTTGCCTAGCTAAGTTTCTATCTGTCTATTATAATTTTAAGATATAAGGCAAAAACGCAAAAAATTGGAAAAAATCATCATCAAAGGGCAATAACTCTAATAAGGAGTCGATTGACCATTTCGACCATGTTGATCTATTTGTAGAACTTGTCTTGCTGATCATTTTAAAGTTTCTCTGTATCTATTATAGTTTTCAAGATAGTAGGCAAAAATGAAAAAAAAGGTAAAATTTGTCATTTAAAGGCAATAACTCCTATAAGAAGTCATCTGACAGTTTTGACTTGTACGGACAATTGGAAGAGCTCAACTTTCTGAACATTTTTGCTCTTGTCAGATTTTCTCTCTTTATAGTGGTTTTCAAAAAAATAGACAAAACTTGCATTTTACCCCCTATGTTCTATTTTTAGCCATGTAGGCCATGTTGGTTGACAGGTGGTGTCATCGGACACATTTTTTAACTATATACCCCAATGATGATTGTGGCCAAGTGTGATTAAATTTGGCAAAGTAGTTTCAAAGGAGATTTTTGTAAAAGATTACAAAAATTTACGAAAAATTGACTATAAATGGCAATTACTCCTTAAGGGGTCAATTGATAATTTTAATCATGTTGACTTATTTGTAGATCTTACTTTGGTGAACATTATTGCTGTTTACAGTTTATCTCTATCTATAATAATATTCAAGATAATAACCTAAAACTGCAATATTTACTTAGAATTACCAATTCAGGGGCAGCAACCCAACAACGTGTTGTCTGATTCGTCTGAAAGTTTCAGGGCAGATAGATCTAAACCTATTGAACATTTTAATCCGCGTCAGACTTGCTCTAAAAGTTTTAGTTTCAGAGATAGAAGCCAAAAACTGCATTTTACCCCTATGTTCTATTTTTAGCCATGTTGTCCATCTTGGTTGCCAAGCGGGGTCATCGGACACATTTTTTAAACTAGATACCCCAATGATGATTGTGGCCAAGTGAGATTAAATTTGGCAAAGTAGTTTCAAAGGAGAAGATTTTTGTAAAAGATTACAAAAATTTACGAAAAATTGTTAAAAATTGACTTTAAATGGCAATAACTCCTTAAGGGGTCAACTGAAAATTTTGGTCATGTTGACTTATTTGTAGATCATACTTTGGTGAACATTATTGCTGTTTACAGTTTATCTCTATCTATAATAATATTCAAGATAATAACCAAAAACTGCAAAATTTACTTAAGATTACCAATTCAGGGGCAGCAACCCAACAACGGGTTGTCTGATTCGTCTGAAAGTTTCAGGGCAGATAGATCTAAACCTGATGAACATTTTGGGACAGGTGAGCTAAAACTGAGTCC